CCCCCCGGCCCAACCAAGACTGTCAGCCTCATCTACAGCCAGGGAGTCAGGAGACCAAAGGATCATTGTTTTATTGAAAGTAAAGCTCCTTTGCCTGTGATCAGAATGCAAGTCTCCTGGCAAGAGTGACCTGACCTGTAAGGGTGGCTTTTGCAGACACCAGCTGCGTCAACAGCCCCCACTGCCTCCTATTTCAGATTCATTAGTCTTCTTGCCTTTGGGAAAGCGCTGACACCTCCTAGTTACCCTAGGCTTTTGTAAGGTTCAAAAGTTCTCCAAGTCCATTATACTGCTATTTCATCTGTGCCTGTCAACACAACTCGAGGGCCAGAGCATGAGCTGTCCAGTCTTACAGAAGAGGAAACTGCCCCAGAGAAGTGACCTTCTCAAGACCATGACTGGGAAACAGTGGATTAGGTTTCTAGCTCCAGGGTCAGGAGGGAGAAGGAGAGAGGTGAGCGGAGTGTGGGCGATTAGGCCCCGGGAAGGAGGGAACCCAGACCAGGCACCTGAGGCAAGGATGCAGACATCTCAGAAGAAACTGGAAACATGAGCACACCTATACCCACTTCCTAAACCAGACCATTTTTATAATTCTTGTGTTTTCTGTGTTAATTTTCTCCCATGGTAGGAAATAGTGAAAACTCAAGTTCCAGTTGACCTCCACTGTGCAGAGAGTGTTAGTCACTTAGTTGTGTCTGACTCTCTGTGACCCTGTGGACTGTAGCCCGCCAAGCTCTTCTGTCCATGGGATTCTCCAGGCAAGAATACTGAAGTGGGTTGCTACTCCCTTCTCCAGGGGATCTTCCCAACCCAGGGATCAAACCTGGGTCTCCTGCATTGCAGGCAGATTCTTTACTCTCTGAGCCACCAGAGAAGCTTCCGCTGTGCAGAGGAAAGCCAAAGGAATGAGTTTGTATCTCTGCTAGCATGTTGAAGGGGGACGCACCCCAGGGCAGTAGAATTAAAAAAGGGAGGAGGCCAAGGGCATAGGGGAGCCAGTTTTTCAGTCCTCCCTACCCTCACCCCTAGCACCTTCAGAAGATCAGAACTTAGCTGTAGAAAACCTGAATTTTTCTGTGGTTAGAAGAAGTTGGTTGCCTCAACCATCTCATAATAATGAGATTCCATCATTCACATGACAAATATTCATTGAGTTCTAGGTGCCTGGGATACACCAGGGGACAAAACAAAGATTTTTGTCCTTCTGCTGCTTTTACTGTAATGAGAGAAGACAGAATACAGACATTAAGGAATAAATCAGTAAATTACATGGTATGCTAGAAGGTGTTGAGTACTGTAGGAGCAGGGTAAGAGGTGAGTGGGTGCTGGGTGGGGTGGGTGGCGATGTCAGCTGCAATGGTCAAGGCAGGCCTCATGGGGAAGGGGAGATTGAGGTGCAGGGGTGTCAGGGCACGTGAACGCCAGGCAGGGGGAAACCATGCCTGAGTGCTGAGCAACAAGGGTGATTCAGGGAGAGTGAGGGACAGTGTGGTGGGAACAGAGGCCAGAGAGTTGAGGAGGTGAGTAGATCATGAGTTGCCTTTCTGGCCATGGCACGGACTTGGGTGAGTGAAACAGGGAGACAAGGATAGCTTGATCCCACTAACTACTGTGTTGAGAAAAGACTGGAGGGTCCAATGAGAGACATGATGGGAAGCCAATGCAATAAGACAAGGGAGAGGTCGTGGCAGCTTGGACCTGGGTACAGTGGTAGGAGGTGATGAGAAGAAGTGGGGTGCCAGATAAAGCAAGAGATGACAAGATTTGCTAAGAGTTTTGGTGGAAGATGTGAGAGAAAGAGGCATCAAGGATGACGCCACAGTTTTTGGCCTGAGCTCCTGGGAAGGTGGAGTTGCTGCTAACTGAGATCATGTGTGTTATCATAGCTACTGACCACCTTCTCTGGGCCGAGTCTGGGGTCATCCACTTTGTACTCTGCTCCGAATCAATCCTTCAAACCCCATGAGGTAGGAATTAGTCCCCCTCAGCCCAGAGAGGGTGCCTAACTGATCATATCACTCAGTAGGTGGCAGACGCTGGATGCTCCAGGCTGGTCTGACCCCATGGGGTGGGTGTGTACATCCTGTCCCTGGGACATGAGTCCGCTTGGCTCGCCTGACCCTAGCTGGCCTTGCACTTTACCCACTCTTGCCCCGACATCAAGCTGCCTCAAAGCGACAGAGCTCCCAAGGCCTGATGCTTTCTGGGGACTTCTCTTGGACACACTTTAAAACTCTTTATTTGGATATCTGAAATTAAATTGGGGGTGGGGGCCAAAACTAGGATGTTTGGGAGCTTCCTCAGAGGCCTTGGGCTGACAGGTGGACCATGAGTCAGGGAGGCAACTGGTGGGAGTGGGTACAAGGGACTTACTGGTTGTCTCAACAAAAATGTGGGATTCTTGTAAACAGTCATCTCTGAAACAGCCCTCCCCACCACCACAGTGCCCACAGGGGAGGGGCTGCTACCCCATCCTTCTAGATCACGGGGCTCACAGTTTACAGGGAGAGAGTTGACCCAGATTGCCTTCAGACACAGGGAACATGTATGCATGCATGCTTCTCTGTGTGTGTCCAGAGAAGGGGGACTGACTCGGGGGATGGAAGTCTCCCAGTACGGGGTGACATCAGGAGTCTGAACACCACTGTCCTACCCCAGGCACATCCTGGACTCCCTTTCAAGAGTGACTTCAAGAAAGTCACAGAGCAGCTCCTCCTACATATCAGCTCCTCCTACATAACGAGTTCTGCTCCTCCAGGGCCTGGTTCTGGGTCAAAGCTTCAGCACCAGGCAGCTAAGAGCCAGCTTTGCCAGCAGCCCAGGCTAGGGGTTCCTGGATGCACTCAGGGTTCCTTGCTAAAGTTGTGCTAGAAAGTTGATTATAAAATTCTGCCACCTGCCTGAGATATGAGGGAGGCTTTAAAAATGTATAAGCACTTATTCTGTGCCAGGCACCTCCACACATGCACATGTGCACACATACACACAAAGGCACGCACCTGCTTTAATTTTCCTGACTATGGAATGGGGATCATTCCCACTTGAATGAAAGTGAAGCTCAGAGAGGTCGAGAGAGGTTCAGAGGCCACACAGCTGTGGTCCCCGATGGTACTCTCAGCTGTCTGACTTCAAAGTTCCTGAGGCTCAAGGTTTTGACATCTCCAGCACCCATTGCTAGGCCCTCCCCTCAAATCCCCTTCCTTTCTGGGCCCACAAGTCTGCTGAGAAGTCCTGGGTCAACCTGGCTTTCTTACCAGAGACCTTGCCCTCTCTGGAGACTCCCAGCCAGTCTGGGGATGATGGGGGTAAGACCGCAGGGACGGCCTAAGCCTTGGAAACGGGGAAAGAGAGGGTTGTGCCGACCCGTCTTTGGAGTTTTATGACTTGCTGTCCTTTGGGGCAGAGAGCAGATAAGGACTGAGCTTGTAGGCAAGGAAGAGACATCTTTCTCCTTAAGTGGAGGTCTCGGGCTCAGTGGAGCAACTCTGTCCCCTCCTGTATCCCATCTCACCTCCAACCCCTGCTGCAAAGCAAGGCACCTGTCTCTCAGGGCTCTCTTTCAGCAAAGGAGAAACTGGATGTTTCTACTGGCCCCAGTGCTGAGACTCCTTCCCACTGCTCCTGAGCATCTCTGCTCCGGCCAGGCCCTTGGACCTACCCAGCATCTTAGGACAGTTTCTCTTTTCAGAGAAGAAAGCACATTTTTCTTTGGTTATTGAGCCACCCTTCCCAAAGGTAGCTGCCTGCTTGATGAGGCATGAGATAGAAGGTGTTTATCCCAAAGGACGGAAGGGCTAGGATGAGGCTGGCTGACCTCACACAGGGATCCTCTGAACAGACCCTGCCCCTTAACTCTGCCAAAACTCTGGGCAGATCTGATCTCCTGGACTAAGGGCTTCAGGACCTCAGAAGGTCAATTCAGAGGTACTTGGGTCCCTAGACTCCCAGCACTGGTGGTGATAACCAGAGCCATCTCTGCACTCTGGCCCTGAGATTTGGGATGGGTGTGGTCAGAGTCAGGCCTCTGGGATGTGGCCAGACAAACACCTCCCCTGCTTAACAAGTGGCGGACTCTCCCCAAGGCTGGGTGTCCCCGCTTCCTATGCTTCCTCCTAAACTGCCACTGACCATTCCACGGGTCTGGACACTGCATCTGTGGAGAGCCGCTGTGAAGATCTAGGGAATTCGCACCAACTGTGGGCCCTGGTGGAGGCCAGAGATGGAGCCTGGGAGGGGGGCGGGGCAGGCACACAGGCAGCCTCTGTTGGCCTGGGAGTCAGAGAACAGTGGCCAGCGCAAACACTGCTGCTTGCAAACAAACAGCCTCAGGCTGGGGGGAACAGCTCGGCTTTGTCCTGGTTAGTGCTGATGTGGGTCCTGCAGCTCTCACCCCTCGGTTCTCCTCTTCTTGCCTACTGCAGCCTTGGAACTGAGGTTGGGAGAGCCGGGGAGAAGTGAAGCCCCGGCCGGAGGCACCTGGTCTCCAGAAGAGGATGTGGTTCCGAAGTGTGAGCCCTCTTACCTAGTGGTCGGGGGAAGTCGTCTTTAGGGCCACAGGCTCCCCTTTCATCCCTGCTGGCCTTGGCCTCTGCCTCCACCTCTGCAGGTTCTCCAGGCCCTTCTCTTTGTCTAGCAACTGGGCTGCAGCTCTGCACCACACACCCCCAGAATCCCAGAGTATCCAGTAGGTTTGGCGTGCGGATAAAGAACCCAAATCCAGAGAGGTTAAGCGACTCACCCAGAAAAGTTAAGTGACTTGGCCAAAGTCACACAGCTGGTGAACCGCCGAACTGGTTGGCTGTTGGAAGAATCCTCTTCCCATTTTTTTGTATGGGTCCCTCCCAGGCCCCAGGCCACCCAGGGGAGCCCAGGCTGGGCCGGGACAATCACTCTTGTGCACACATGTGGTGCTTATCAAGCAAGCATTGCCTCGCAGGGTTTCGCAATGAGCCTTGTGCTCTGGCCACCCCATTGGACATGGAGCTGATGGAGGGCAGGAGTCTTCCCTGCTTCCAGACCGCTGCCTAGGTCACTCCCCGACCCAGGCCCAGAGTCAGGGCCCAGCAAGTCCTTGCTCAATGAGGGAGGGGATGTACGGGGGCCTGGAGAAGAACCAGGCTCAGGATGTCAGGCTTATTCCCCACTCGGAAGGAAAAGAGCAAAAATTTGTGCAGGAAGGCAGAGGAGATGATTGGAGGAACAGGGACTTGTAAAACAGGGAGGTGGCTGAATTCATTGGATTGGCCTCGGAGCAGGCCCTGATCACAGAAACCAGCTGAAATATTCAGAACTCAAAGCCAGCGACGTCTCCCCAGAGAGGCCAAAGGGGACAGGACAGGCGGAACCGGCAGCGCCAGGCGGCAAGATGAGGTACAAGAATCACGGAGCTGCAGAAGGTGCCAGGAGAGGTTTGTGGGCCCTCGGGGAACAGGCGGTAGGACTCTTCCTTCGAGGTAGGAGGTCTTCCTTCGAGGATTAATTAACCCTTGCTGTTCTCCACTCAGCCAGTCAGTCAGCTTTCCCATGAGCCCCGTGTGGTGCTAGGAGCCTGGGAGGGGTGGGGAGGTAGAAGCCAGAAAGAGGAGCCAGTGTCTGCCTTCGAGGGATCTGTGAAATAGCCGGGGAGAGCAAACAAGCACATACAAATCAGATCATGATTAGAATCGTTAAATAGCAAACCGTGGGTGACCAAATACAATAGGAGGCAGAGGGGGGAGGCTCCTCTCCACTGCGCCTAAACATCAGGCATCTGGTCTTTTATTTCCTTTCTTTCCTTCTACCAGCCCCCCTATACACACACACACCCACACACACACACATACATTCTACCATCCCCCCTACACATATACATACCACACATACAGACACACACTCTGCCATCCTCCTACACACACACACACACACACACACACACATACACACACACACTCTACCAGCCCCCCTACAAACACACACAAACACATACATACACGCTCTACCATCCTCCTACACACACACTCTAAAATCCCCCCCACACATACACACCACACACACACGCCACACCATACCACACACACAGAGTCTAATATCCCCCCTACACACACGCACACACACACACACACACTCTACCATCCCCCCCCTCCCACACACACACACTCTACCATCACCTCTAAACATACACACACACATACAGCATCCCTATATAGGAAGGCCAACAATGAAGACTAGAAAATAACTTCCCATAAATCACGACTCTATGAGGCCTTGGCCACATCCCAGCTCCAGTTCTGAATTTATAGCTCTCAGCGCGCTCACACTGCTGGCCACCAACCCCAGGGCACCACCAACATCTTAAATTTATTGACTGATGGACTGATTATCAGCGTGGGAGCAGCCAGCACACACAGCTAGGGGAGAGATGGCACACAGGCAGGAAAAAACAGACAGCAGCTTGGCAAAGCACAGACAGTTTCATGTACATAGAAGGGAAAGGATGAGAACCTCTCTTCAGTGAGATTTCCCAGAGTGTATTGTTTGGTTCCCACTTTTGAACCTTCACACTTTCCTCACAGTTGGAACTTCCCCACCTCTTCTCCCCCAACAAGGCCCTCCCCTATTTTGAAACTGATTTCTAGGGAAACAGTCCCCAGATCCCTCATCTGACTCAGCCCGTCATCTCTGCCCCTTCTTTGTATTCAGCTCAGGCACCGGACTGTCAGTCTGGAGGCGCCAGGGTCCGACTGCCAGGTCTGTCCTATGTACAAGCAGGTTTCCTACTCATTAAACTCTCCTGAGCATCTGTTCCAGGCTGGGCTCTGGGCTACACCAGCCAGAGACAAAGCAGGACAAGCTAGGCCTTGCTGCCCAGAAGCCCACCGTCTCATTATGGTGAGAACACATAAACCCACCAGAACGATCTTAACCTTGCAAAGCGGCCTGGGTTCAATATCAAATGAGCAGAAGAGTCATCATCTTTTTTTGGCTTTGGCTTATTTATATATTAACTTTGTTTATAGCAGCACTATGGACCACCTTTAAAAACAAACCAAATGTTCCCCCAAAATCACTTTAAAAGGCTCAGAGGAGGAAAAGTTTCTGAGGCCTGTAAGATCCCTCAGTTTCTTGAAGAATCTGGGTCTTGAAAGAATTTGGAGAGGTAGCAAAGAAGGGAGGGAACTCAGGAAGGGGGGATTGCTGGAGTCAAAGGGTGGAAGGGTGTAGATCAAATTTGGCGAACAGATGGCACCCGTGAGGACCACTCTGCTATGCTTGTCTGTGGATGACTTTGTTGATTGTAGCCCTGCCTCCCACCGACTCTGAATGCAGACTCCTTCTCAATGTTGCTCTCACCAACTGGTTAGGGAGGAAATCAGTGTGTGGGCCTTTCTGGCCTGGAGTGTCCAGAGGCCTGAGGCTGAACCAGGATGCTGTGTGTGGACTGGAGAGGAGTTGGAGTTGTAGAATGGCAGAGCTAGAACAGACCGGAGGAGCCAATTCCCGCATTCTCACTTACAGAATCTAAGGCTAGAGAAAAGAGTACTTGTTCAAGGTCTAGGAGTAACTGGTGAAGGCGTTGGCGCTCAAGCCTCCTGACCTCTGGGCCATAGGTTGGGGCCTGATGCTCAAAAGGGCCTTGGCTGCCCAGCTGCTGAACTTTTACTTGATAATAGTAATCCTGTACTATCTGGAGCTGGCCTCGCAGAAGCCCAAGGTCAAGGTCTTCTGAGCTCATTCTTACCCCAAGCCACCTTCTGTCCTCCTGTCCAAACTCCCATTCCTCAGAAGGTCCACAGTGGGGCCGTACAGGGGGGAGTGCATGCCCAGGTTCAACGAGGCCTCAGGAGCAGGGAAACAGGTGGACGTCCTCCCACCTCTGTCCCCAAAAGAGAAGGCACTTCTCCCACTGGAGCCGGCCTTGGGCTCTCTGCGCACCAGCGAAGGGTTTCCCCCTCAGCTCCAAGGCCTCAAGGGAGCCACTGAACTTTTTTGAGCATGTGAGTGTTCTAATGAAAATGTTATTTATAACATGCTATCATGGAAAGTTAATCTGTCCTGTGTTTTCTGGAAGAGAATGTCTCGCATTGGGACACTCCTGCATGAGTTGGAAGCTCTGTGGACAAAACCAAGGGCTCCACAGTGTACCCTCTGTGGACAGAGTACCCTCTGAAGATGGGAGTGGGGGGCCCTGAGAGGGGAGTGGGGTGGAAAGGAGAAAGAGGCTGTACCCTCAGGATCAAATCCTTGAGGTCAACGCCCATGAAGGCTCCCAGGAGGGGTCAGGACCCACATGCAGCTGGAAGAGCTTCGGAGACCTGTTAGACCTCATGACTCCCAAGCTGAGGTGGACAGGTTACTTGTTTTGCTGTTTGTTTCCTCGAAATGGATGTAAGTAAACAAGTATGTCGAGTCTTGTCTTAGGGGGTCGAATGAAGTGGAGAACTGGAGAGACTGTGGCTCTTTCTGTAAGTAGCTTCTGGGGGTCCAAGAAGGGGGACATGGGAAGCAAACTCTGGGCAAAAACATGGGTGGTGGCAAGAAAGGGAGCAGAGATCAAGGGGGCCAGCCAGGAGGCCCCCGAGCCTGAGAAGGTATGGAGCTGAGCAGCAGCGGCTGGACACCCTCATTAGATCCTCAGCCTCCAGAGGCTGGGGATCACACTTCCACCTTCCTCAGCCCACAGTCCCAGGCTCAAGACGTGGACACATAGCCATGACCTTACTCAACCAGGGTTGACTTTCTCCTTTTCCCCAACCATTTCCCAAATCTTAAACAATTCTCCCACTTGTCAAAATGGGCAGAGAGAGGACAGCATTCTCCCTGCCCATTGAGGGGCCACCAGAGTGAAGACAGAACCAGAGAGATATGCTAATTTCCTCTTCATAGGTCACCACTGACGTCCCATTTTCCAACCCCAGTTTCCACTTCTCAGAGCTCATGCTGACTCTTGTGCAACCTTTGTTTCTCTAGACCTTATACCTTGGGCTTCCGGCCTTTGCATCTTTGTGGTTCTCCCTCTACAGCTCTAGTTCCTCTTTCTCTACTTTTTGTGTAGTTTACTCTTCTTCCCGAATCCCTCAAGCCAGGTGTTCCCCAAATTTGCTGTTTTTACTTGTGTAACCCTGGCCATGGTCAAGTTTGTTCCATGGGAAGTTTGGTTGTGGACCCATGAAGTGGAGATGCCTCTGGAGCCTCAAAGAAAGACGTCAAGTCATGCAGGTTTTGCCAGATACAATAAACATGCCCAGTTTAATTTGGATTTCAGATAAACAAAAAATAATTTTTAGTATAAATCTGTCCTAAATGTTACAAGGGACATACTAAAAATTTTTTCCTTGTTTATTTGAAATTTGTATTGCACTGAATATCCTATATTTTTATTTGCTAAATCTGACAATGACTTAGTGACTAAATAACAACATCAATATAGGTAGAAAGGGAATGAAGTTCTGATCTGCGTACATACTTCCCTTGGGGCTTCTCAGGTGGCACAGTGGTAAAGAACCCCCGTCCCGTACAGGAGACTTGGGAGTTGTGAGTTCAATCCCTAGGTCAGGAAGTAAGAAATAGCAACCCACTCCAGCATTCTTGCCTGGAGAATCCCATGGACAGAGGAGCCTGCTGGGCTACAGTCCACCGGGTCACAAAGAGTCAGACACGACTGAGTAAGACTAAGCTTGGCACAGCACAGGGGATCATAGCGGGCAGAGCTGAGGACCCAGTCAGGCTTGGTGAGCACCAGGGATGGTAGATCCGGTCAGCTTGCTTGTGTAGCAATTCTTCTCCAACAGAAATCACCCACCACACAGGGACCGTTCAGAGGGCAAGGTAATTTGATTCATCCACAGCTTGGGTTTCGCTGGGTGGTGTGACCAAGGGGAGTTTATGTGAAAGGCAAGAGAGAATAAAATTCACTGGTGAATTGGAAGAGAGGGGAGGGGTCAGGTGCTCCTGAGAGGGTCAGAGGACAGGTGTAGGCTGGGTGATTGAGTGAATAAGCTGAGAAGCTAGAAAGATGTCAGAATTAGTCATTTCAGAGATGAGTGAGTTCTGTGGAGTGAACTGAGATGACTGTGTCTGAAGAGTGGGTGGCCAAGACAGTGGGCCAGGAGGTTATCAGAGATGGAGAAACCGAGTGACCAGGAGGCTAGGGTGTGGGCGGGGTCACTCTCATGGACACTGAGAGTCACCCGTGGTGATGGCAAGGCCTCCCCGTGTCCTCCACATGTCTTACCTCTCCTGGCAACGCTTCCCTGTTTGTTAGGTCACGTGGGTTGCTATGGTGGTAGGCGGGCAGAGGAGAGCTGGTAGTGGCTCAAGCTGGGAGGGCACTGTGAAATGTTTCCACAGCAGAAAGAGATTCTACAGAAGCTTGGAACAAAATGGGTTCCTTTGAGTCTTCCCAGCCTGAAGGCACCCACAGCCTGCTATCAGTATGCATCAAGACTGAGAAAATCTAAGATTCTTCCTGTTCTCGGTGTTGTTCTGGAAGCCCAAGGAACTAGTGTACTGGTCATAACCCAGAGTGGTTTTTCCCCCAAAATCCCCAGAGCCTGCCCCTTCTCTTGTTTTCTTTCTGCCACTCTAGCTAGAAAATTCAGCCTCACATCCCTAGCCAACTGGCCATTGAC